ACATGGGTTTGATCCCTGGTCCAGGAAGATCCCACATGCTGTGGAGCAACTAAGCCTGGGCACCACAACTACTGAGCCTGCACTCTAGAGCCCACAAGCCACAACTACTGAGCCTGTGCACCACAGTTACTGAAGTCTGTGTGCCCTAGAGCCCATGCACCACAACTACTGAGCCCACGTGCTGAAACTACTGAAATCCCTGTACACTAGGGCCTGCATGCTGCAACTACTGACTCAAGTGCTGCAACTACTGAAGCCTGTGCACCTAGAGCCTCTGCTCTGCAACAAAAGAAGCAACTGCAATGAGAAGCCCACACACCGCAACGAAGAGTAACTCCCACTTGCCACAACTAGAGAAAGCCCGCATGCAGCAATGAAGACCCAACGCAGCCAAAAGAAACCCAAACAAACAAGAAAATTTTCAAATAAACAACTATCCTTACACCTAAAGCAACTAGAGAAAGAACAAAAAAAATCCAAAGTTAGTAGAAGGAAATAAGTCATAAAGATCAGACCAGAAATAAATGAAATGGAGACAAAGAAAACAATAGCAAAGATCAATGAAACTAAAAGCTGATTCTTTGAGAAGATAAACAAAATTGATAAACCTTTAGCCAGACTCATCAAGAATAAAAAGGAAAGGATGCAAATCAATGAAATTGGAAATGAAAAAGAAGTTACAATGGACACCACAGAAATACAAAGGATCATAAGATATTACTACAAGCAATAATATGCCAATAAAATGGACAACCTAGAAGAAATGGACAAATTCTTAGAAAGATACAACCTTCCAAGGCCGAACCAGGAAGAAATAGAAAATATGAACAGACTAATCACAAGTACTGAAATTGAAACTGTGATTAAAAATCTTCCAAAAGGGACTACCTTGGTGGTCCAGTGGTTAAGAATCTTCCTTCCAATGCAGGAGACGTGGGTTCAATCCCTAGTCGGGGAACTAAGATCCCACATGCCGTGGAGCAAATAAGCGCACATGCCACAACTACTGAGCCCGCATGCTTTTCTGCCACAACTAGAAAAGCCCACACGCTGCAGCTACTGACCTCATGCACTCTAGAGCCTGTGTATCACAACTAAAGAAGCCCATGTGCCAGAACTAGAGAGAAGCCCGTGTGCCACAACAAAGACCCAGCACAGACAAAATTTTAAAAAAAACCTTACAACAAACAAAAGCCCAGGGCCAGATGGCTTCACAGGAGAGTTCTATCAAACACTTATAGAAGAACTAATACCCATCCTTTTCAAACTCTTCCAAAAAATTACAGAGGGAGGAAGACTCCCAAGCTCATTCTACGAGGCCACCATCACCCTGATACCAAAACCAGAAAAAGCTATCACAAAAAAGAAAATTATAGGCCAATATCACTGATGAACATGGACACAAAAATCCTCAACAAAATACTAATAAACACAATCCAACAACACATTAAAAGGATCATACACCATGATCAAGTGGAGTGTATCCCAGGGATGCAAGGATTCTTCAATATATGCAAATCAATCAATATGATACACCACATCAACAAATTGAAGAATAAAAACCATATAATCATCTCAATAGATGCAGAAAAAGCTTCTGACAAAATTCAACACCATTTTTGATTAAAAAAAACTCTCCAGAAAGTGGGCATAGGAGAACCTATCTCAACATAAAAAGGCCACATATGACAAACCCACAGCAAACATCATTCTCAATGGTGAAAAACTGAAAGTCTTTCCTCTAAGATCAGGAACAAGACAAGGATGTCCACTCTCACTGCTTTTATTCAACATAGTTTTGGAAGTCCTAGCCACGGCAATCAGAAAAGAAAAGGAAATAAAAGGAATCTAAGTTGGAAAAGAAGAAGTAAAACTGTCACTGTTTGCAAATAACATGATACTATACATAGAATATCCTAAAGATGCTACCAGAAATCTACTGGAGTTCAGCAATGAATTTGGTAAAGTTGCAGGATACAAAATTAGTACACAGAAGTCTCTTGAATTCCTATACACTAACAGTGAAAGATCAGAAAGAGAGATTAAGGAAACAATCCCATTTACCATTGCATCAAAAAGAATAAAATACCTAGGAATAAACCTACCTAAAGAGGCAAAAGACCTGTACTCAGAAAACACTGATGAAAGTAATCAAAGATGTCACGAACAGATGGAGAGATGTACCATGTTCTTGGATTGGAAGAATCAATATTGTGAAAATGACTATACTACTCAAAGCATTCTACAGATCCAGTGCAATCCCTATCAAATTACCAATGGCATTTTTCACAGAATTAGAACAAAAAAATTTTACACTTTGTATGGAAAGATAAAGACTCCAAATAGCAAAAGCTATCTTGAGAAAGAAGAATGCAGCTGGAGAAATCAGGCTCCCTGACTTCAGATTATACTACAAAACTACAGCCATCAAAACAGTATGGTACTGGAACAAACACAGAATTATAGATCAATGGAACAGGATAGAAACTCCAGAGATAAACCCATACACCTATGGTCACCTAATCTATGACAAAGGAGGCAAGAATATACAAAGGAGAAAAGGCAGGCTCTTCAGTAAGTTGTGCTGGGAAAACAGGACAACTACACATAAAAAAACGAAATTAGAACACTCCCTAGCACCACACACAAAAATAAACTCAAAATGGATTAAAGACCTAAATGTATGGCCACATACTATAAAACTCGTAGAGGAAATGTAGGCAGAACACTCTCTGACATAAATCACAGCAAGTTCTTTTTCAATACACCACCTAGAGTAATGGAAATAAAAACAAAAATAAATAAATGGGACTTAATTAAACGTAAAGGCTTTTGCACAGCAAAGGAAACCATAAACAAAACAAAAAGACAACCTTCAGAATGGGAGAATATATTTGCAAATGAAGCAACTGACAAGGGATTAATCTCCAAAATATATAAATAGCACATGCATCTCAATATCAAGAAAACAAACAACCCAATCACAAAATGGGAGGAAGACCTAAATAGGTATTTCTCCAAAGAAGACATACAGTGGCCAACAGACACATGAAAAGATGCTCAACATCACTAATTATCAGAGAAATGCAAATCAAAACTGCAATGAGGTATCACCTCACACTGGTCAGAACGGCCATCATCAAAAAATCTAGAAAAAATAAATGCTGGAGAGGGTGTGGAGAAAAGGGAACCCTCCTCACTGTTGGTGGGAATGTAAACTGATACAGCCACTATGAAGAACAGTATGGAGATTCCTTAAAAAACTAAAAATAGGGCTTCCCTGGTGGCGCAGTGGTTGAGAGTCCACCTGCCGATGCAGGGGACACGGGTTCGTGCCCTGGTCCAGGAAGATCCCACATGCCGCGGAGCGGCTGGGCCCATGAGCCATGGCCGCTGAGCCAGCATGTCCGGAGCCTGTGCTCCGCAACGAGAGAGGCCACGACAGTGAGAGGCCCACATAACGCAAAAAAAAAAAAAAAAAAAAAAAACAAAACTAAAAATAGAGCTACTATATGATCCAGCAATCCCTCTCCCAGGCATATATCTGCAGAAAGCCATAATTCTAAAGGATACATGCATCCTGTTCTTCATTGCAGCACTATTTACTATAGCCAGGACATGGAAGCAACCTAAATGTTCATCGAGAGAGGAATGGATAAATATGTAGTACATATATACAATGGAATATTACTCAGCCATAGAAAGGAACAAAATAGTGCCATTTGCAGAGAACTGGATGGACCAGATGATAGACTGTCATACAGAGTGAAGTAAGTCAGAAAGAGAAAAACAAATATTGTATAATATCACTTATATGTGGAACCTAGAAAAATGGTAGAGATGAACTCATTTGCAAAGCAGAAATAGAGTCACAGATGTAGAGAACAAACTTATGGTTACCAAGCAGGGGAGGGGGGTGGATGAATTGGGAGATTAGGGCTGACATATATACACTACTATGTATAAATTAGATAACAAATGAGAACCTAGTATATAGCACAGGGAACTCTACTCGGTGCTCTGTGGTGACCTAAATGGGAAGGAAATCGAAAAAAGAGTGGATATATTTATACGTATAACTGATTCTCTTTGCTGTACAGCAAGAAACTAACACAACAGTGTAAAGAAACTATACTCCAATAAAAATTAATTTTAAAAATTAAAACTTTAAAAAGTGGCACAAGCCAATATAGATGGTGTTAATCTAAAGCCCAGGGGAATGGGATGATTCCTGCACTTGTTACCAAGGGACTGAAACCACAAGGGTAAGAACCCAGATTCAGAGAGGCAGATTTAACAAGATTTTTGGCAGTTGTTACTAGCCAATGAGATCACTCAAAAAGGTATAATCAAGCCAGCCATTGAAGGTTTCAAGCAAACTATTGCCCCCTTGGGAAACAGATATCTGTAACCATTCAGTTCTTAAGACAGACTTCCAAGCCCCTATCACAGATAGTGAGTTCCCAAAGTAATAGAGTGTCCAGCTGAGGAAGTCTCCCAACCATCTTCTCAGGTATGATGACAAAGCCAATGAACCGGGGAAATCCACTAGGAAGGCTCTGGAGCATCCAGACAGGCTGACTAAGCAACCCACTGCATGGCCAGAGAAGCGATCTGACAGACTGATAGAATGCATTATTGCCGTCTATCAGGCTGTAGGATGCTGCTTCCTCCTCTGTAACCCATTTCTAAATGTGGTTCAGCCTTGCCCCTCTTCCTTCCTTACCAACTTCCCCTCTCAGTATGAGGCCACCATATTATTTCTAGCCTTAGGTAAGTCTTCTATTCCTCTATCAGCTTAACAATCACTCAACTATACTGTAATCATAACAGAAACATACAGAAAATGAAAAGCCCCTAGGGGCCATTTCTCCATTCTCCAGTTTCTCACAATTCTCCAGCTATTTGAAGGGCCTGGCAAAAGACCATACCCAACTATATAAAAGGGCTGCTGTTTAGGGTAAGTGTAACCACAGAGATAAACATAAAACAAAAAAAGATCTTATGTAACATTTATTTTTTATCCCAATTTAATTTTGGCTTTATTCCTCACCTCCCATTCCCATTCTTTCATTAGAAATCCAAACGGGATTTTTTTTAAAACAAATTGTTTAAAATCATGATTACCTAGAGTCATAACAAAATTTTCTTCTCTCCAAAAGGGGGAAAAACACAGCTTTTATTCTTGTGCTGCATTTTCAAATGCATGTAGCATTAATTGCGTGTTAATACATTCTTTATAAGCTATTTAAAATAAAACCTTCATCCTTTGAGGTTATTGACATTTTTCTAGTTCACTGACACATCTCCTATAATACATTATTCATTTTCATGAGTGAAGTGGGAACTTTAATAAAAAATAGGATTTTAATCCCTGAGGTTGCCATTGCAACACAAGATTGAAAGAATAGACCTTAAACAATAAGCATTGATCATGCTATCTGGATCAAAATCACCTCCATAGCATGGAGTCATTTAGAAAGTTGCATTTACTGGGTTAAGTTAACCCTGCTCTTCCTAGCCCTCATGCTGTATAATATTTCCTTTTGTAAAGAAATAACACATAGCAACGAAGTCTGCAGAAACTTCTGAGATCCTCAGAAATCAAGAGAAACCACAAGTTCCATTTCTCTAATCTCCATCTACGTTGCTGGAGAAGGGTTTTCAGCACCATTCCAAGACCTGGAAAAGTTGATGAACCAACTTGTTTTTTCTACTTCTCCATAAATTTAGTAAAAAGGGAGAAATCAGTCCTCCTGGCTAGAAAATGGGAATGTCCTGCTTATTTCTGCCACCATAACATTAGCAGAGCTGCGTTCAACCCTTTGTGCCCACCCTCCTTGTGGAACCCTTTCTCTACCAGGCGGCTAACAGCGGGGTGTGGATTCCTGCTCCTGTCCCTAGTAGTAGCGGTTCAGGCTCCTGGTGCCAGGAACCTCGGGCTGGCCATTCATCCAAATCTCCCTGATGATGCGTTCCCGCTCCTCTAGCCGCTGGGCACGCTCCAGCTCCTCCGCTGAGGTGAAGACGTTCTTGTTCAAAGTCCTCTCGAAGCGACGATGTCTCCTGACTGAGATGTCGGATGCCGCGTAGGAGCTGCCATCCTCGCTGTCGCTGCTGTTGCTGCTGCTTTCTTGGTCCTGCAGCAACTTCTTCTGGGGATGCTGCCGGCAGTCTGTGTGGCAAGAGATCTTCATCACCAGGGCAGCTACGGTGAGGACCAGCCCGATGCACACACCAGAGACAAAGTACAGGGCTGCTCGCTCAGGATTTTCTGGAGGAGGAGGAAGAAGAGAACATTTGAGAGATGACCACTATATATGCAGAGAGCAAATATGACTCCAGCACAGGATGCACGCCTCTCACCAGACCTCAAAGCTTTGATGGTTACAAATATTGCCTTTCCATGTGACAAACTGCATAATGTTTTTAAAATATAATTTTCAACAAATGGTGAATGTGGGTAAAGAGTGTATGGAATTCTCTTACTATTCCTGTAACTTAACTTCAACATTATTTCAAAATGAAAAGTTAAAAAGAAAATATTATTTAGCATTTACTAGAAGCAAGTAACTGTGCCATCTGCTTATACCAGAAAAATCTTTGCTTCTGAATTTGCTCCTGCAACCCCTTGAATTACCTTTTAATCATAGTTGTAGGTAACTTCTGAGATGACCCCCCACCTCTTGGTATTCATACTCTTATGCAAGTCCTTCCCTCCAAGGGCTGGACATAGTGGGCTGGACCTAGTGACTTACTTCTAACAAAAGTGATGGATGACTCGAGATCAGGTAACCCAAGACTGACTTCTAACTTACTCATGCTCTCTCTAACTTACTCACTTGCTTGCTCTGATGCAGTCAGTTCCCATGCTATGATCTGTACTACAGAGAGGACTGCATAGGGAGGAACTAAGGGTGGCCTCTAACAGCCTTCAAAGCTTGGAAGTGTATGAATATGTTTTGTGTATTTTAAATTTTATTTTGCTTAGCTGTATTTTTAAGTATTCTATTCTCATTGACATTACTTTTGTAATAAATAACGTTATTTTACTGGAATTTAAAATTTTGAAGTGAATCCTCTCCTGGTAGAGCATTGAGGTGGCCATAACCCTGGTCATGCAGCAGCCTTGTGGGACACCTTGAACCAGAGAACCCAGCTATGCCAATCCCAGATTCCTGACTTACAGAAACAGAGAGATAATTAATATGTGTTGTTTTGAGGTACAGATGGTCCCTGAGTTGCAATGGCTAGACTTATGATTTTTTAACTTTACAATTTAGTGAAAGCAATATGCACTCAAGTAGAAATTATACTTCTAATTTTAAATTTTGATCTTTCCCTGTGCTATCAATATGCAGTACAGTACTCTCTTCTGATGCTGGGCAGCAGCAGTGAGCTGTACTCCCAGTCAGCCACATGATCACTTAAGCCATTCTGAACGTAGACAACCATTCAGTTTTTCACTTTCAGTACAGTAGTCAATAAATTACATGAGATATTAAAGACTTTATTAAAAAATAGGGTTTGTGTTAGATGATTTTGCCCCACTGCAGATTAATGTAAGTGTTCTGAACACATTTGAGGTAGGTTAGGCCAAGCTATGACGTTCCACAGGTTAGGTGTATTAAATGCATTTTTGTCAATATCAAAAGAAAAATCCCAATCAAACAATGGGTAGAAGACCTAAATGAGCCACTTCTCCAAAGAAGACCTTCAGATGGCCAAGAGGCACATGAAAAGATGCTCAACATCACTAATTATCAGAGATATAATTACATTGAGATATCACCTCACACCAGTCAGAATGCCATCATCAAAATGTCTACAAACAATAAATGCTGGAGAGGGTGTGGAGAAAAGGAAACCCTCCTACACTGTTGGTGGGAATGTAAATTGGTACAGCCACTATGGAGAACAGTATGGAAGTTCCTTAAAAAACTAAAAATAGAGCTACCAATGAATCAGCAATCCCACTCCTGGGCATATATCTGGAGAAAACCATGGTTCGAAATGATACATGCACCCCAATGTTCATTGCAGTGCTGCTTATAATAGCCAAGACTTGGAAGCAACCTAAATGTCCATTGACAGATGAATGGATATATATATATATACACACACACACACACACACACACACACACACAATGGAATATTAATCATTACAAAGAATGAAATAATGCCATTTGCAGCAATATGGATGGACTTGGAGATTATCATACTAAGTAAAGTTAAGTCAGACAGAGAAAAGACAAATATCATATGATATCGCTTATATGTAGAAGCAAAAAAATACGATACAAATGAGCTTATTTACAAAACAGAAACAGACTCACAGACTTAGAAAAAAACTTATGGTTACTAAAGGGGAAAGGTAGAGGGGAGGGATAAATTGGAAGTGTGGGAATGACATATACGAATTACTATATTTAAAATAGATAACCAACAAGGACCTCCGGTATAGCACAGGGAATTCTGGTTAATATTCCACAATAACCTAAATGGGAAAAGAATTTGAAAAAGGATAGATATATGTATACATATAACTGAATCACTTTGCTGTACACCTGAATCTGATACAACATTGTAAATCAACTATAGTCCAATACAAAATAAAAATTTTTTTAAATGCATTTTTGACATGATATTTTAAATTTACAATGGGTAAGTTGAGGAAGATCTGTGCTTTGCTGTGCAGCAATAGATAACTTATACAATCACAGACTGAAAGCCAGTGTGGGCATTTTTGCAAACACTCATCAGGTTAATTTGTGGGGGAGTAATTTAAGCCCTTTCGTGGTGAGAGAAGAAAATAATCATTCTGCTGATGAGTAATATACTTAGTGGGCCCAGTGATGATCCCTGTATGATGTGTTCAACAGAATGAGAGCCACTGAATGAAGAGCTCTCACCTTCCACATGTGAGAGCACTGGGACATGCCTGGCCTTGAGTCAAAGGGCGTGGTCAATCTGACCAGACCCAAGATTGACATCAGTAAATCAGATCCATAATCTATATTCACCTGTAAGTATGAATCAAAATGTATATATTGTTTTGTGGGTTTTTAAAGAATATAAATGGAATCATATATGATTTATATTTGCTTTTTAAATTTAAGAATATTTCTTAGAGAGGTTTCAACATATGTCAATAGTATTCTTTCTGACTGCTGCATATTCTTCTGTAGTATAGACATCAAAGTTTAACCTTTTCCTTGTTGATAGCATATAAATTGTTTCCTATTTTTCACTATTACAATCAATGCTAAAGTCAGTATCTTTTTGTCCTTGTATATATCTCTTTATGCATTGCAGAATTATTTCTACAGTTTAGTTAATCTAGAAACAGAACAGCTGTATCAAAGGGCTTAGGCATTTTCAGGTTTTATACGTTTCAAATTGTACCCAAAAAAGGTTCTATCAGTCTGAACACAGCATACTGAACACATGTGTTTATAATCCCTCCTTCTCTCTGAAACCTCCACTGAAATGACAGTGATGTGAGTAAAATAGATACAAAGTATAGGTACAAAGAAAAGAATAGAGAAGAAAATAGAAAACACGAATAGTCCAATGTTTAGTGCAAGGGAAGAAATGTACGCATATGATTGAATACAAAAAGGGATGATGTGAAATAAAAACTGTTTAAAGAAGAAAAAAGAAAACACGAAGAGTCAACATAAGAGTAGTCAACAAACAATGCAACATAGTAAAAAGGGACTGACATTAACATCATGGTAGTGTAAGACATCCTTACTTTTTGTACAACTAATGAGGTATCGATCCATAAACCACAGTGCCTCTGTGGGAACTGTGTGATCTCATATCATATGCCAAGGGACCAGGGAGAAGTCCTGCTTACCTGTTCATCTGGTAATAGACAGACAAACACTGGTTTGGGCTGCAGAATCAGCAGAGCGAGCAAACCTGCCTCAACAACTCCCAGCCGTGATTGGGGAAAACCTGGAGAGTGCTGACTTGGGCAATACCCACAGATGAGAGAGAATTTGTAAAATTCCAGCCCCTTGGAGGTGATTAGAGCACACCACTGGAGGGAAAACACACACACACACATACACACACACACATACACACACACACCCACATGAGTTTGAATGCAGCAGAGAGGGAAAGAGGAACTTTTTCAGCTTTGCCCCCTCCACAAGTTGACACAGTAACAGACTGAACTATCCCGTGGTGACCTGCCCACAGGTGAAAAGGAGAGTACAGTGTGAGTGCCCGGCTACCCCAGCTACGCTGGATGCTGCAAGAGAAACCCATTTTTCTCCAGCAACACTAGGAGTACTGGAAACAGGACCTCTATGACTGGGGGAAGGGAGAAGATCAGAAAAGGCTAATAAGAACATCAAAAGGCGTTAAAGGGGCATGGTTCCTGCTGTCTGTGCTCAGGGCTTCAGCAGGAAGTCCACTCAAGAGCCCCTGGGAGAACCTCAGCCAAGGATATCCCCAACAGCTGGTGGTTACCCCCAATGCCCCAAGTACTAAACCCACCCACCCCCTCACTCTGTGGTGGCTCCTTGTTTGCACTCAGAGATTGGCAGCAGGAGTGAGCAGGGTGAATGCAGTGCTATTAGAAAAACAGACCAGTATCTGTGGGCAAGAGAGAAAACACAAACTTGAGCTGTAGTGCTACCTTCTGGAAAACAAGAGAGATTTCCAGCAGCCAGCCAGGTGAGTTGTAAGAACCACAGAAGACATAAAAGCTTAAGAATTCTGCCACAAGAGGGAGGAAGAAGTACAGAGCAGGTGTATAAATACAAGGTCAGAGAGAACCCCAGATAGAACAGGATCAACAAACAGTATACCCTATCTGAGAGCAACTAGTAAAGATGTGAGGAGGTGTCTGAACTACAAGAAAGAGGAAGAATCAAGAAAACACATCATCACCAAAAGATAATAATCCTTCAATAACTGAACTCAAAAGCAAAAAATCTTATAATCTAGCTGATAAAGAATTCAAAATAGCTGTTTTGAGGAAACAGTGAGCTACAAGAAACACAGAAGACAATTCAATAAAATCAGGAAAAAAATACATGTACAAAGTGAGAAATTTAGCAAAAAGTTAAAAACCATAAAAAGGAACCAAACAGGAATTCTGGAGCTGAAGAATTTGATGATTAAAATGAAAAATGAAACAGAGAGAATCTGCAGCAGGGTAGATCAAATGGAAGACAAAATAAGCAACCAGGAAGACAGTAATTTTGAAATAACCCAATCAGCGGTGAACATAGAAAAAAGAATGAAAAAGAGG